AATAGAAACGCACGGACTATGGCATGGTATTGGTTGCAAAAAATTGATATTTTTCATTTAAATGCAATATTTCTTATTTTATTGGTATATTTCTTCATTTAAATGCATTATTTTTTTATTTGAATGGTATATATTTTCATTCAAATGCAATATTTTTTATTCAAATGGTATAATTTTTCATTCAAATGGTATAATTCTTCATTCAAGTGGTATAATTTTCATTCAAATGCAATAGTTTTTATTCAATTGGTATAAAATGTCATTTGAATGCAATATTTTTTATACAATTGGTATAGTAGTTTTTTATTTATATGCAATAATTGCATTATGGGGAATTCTTTGACGTCATAAGGTCAAATTTGCAACAACGTTTGTGATTGGTCGGAAATTATTTGGATTTCTCCCCTTTCTTTCTAAACATGGGTGACCAAGAATTAAAAAACGCGTCAGAATATCGCCCCTCTTACTAAATCTAACGTTCGTGCGAGTCCTGCACTGGCTGTTAAAATCTTGTGGTCATAACTAGTATTTCTATTGCAAAATTTCGATGGTCAAAACGTTCGGTCCACTTTTCAAAAACCGTTTCATTGTATATGGATTTATATGCAAGTATATCGGTTTTTTTTAAATAGATTTAGACACCGTTGGTTTTCCCGTTTGAATGGTTTTACACTACTAATTTGTTGGGGGTCCTTTATAGCTTGCTGTTCGGTTTGAGCCAAGGCTCCGTGTTGAAGACCGTAAGTTGACCTTTAATGGTTTACATTTACAAATTATGACTTGGATGGAGAGTTGTCTCATCGGCACTCATACCACATCTTCTTATATCTATATACAACGTAAACCAGACGTTTCTCAGACTGTTTTCTTTTTTTAATAAATCCTTTGCCGCTCGTTGTGTACTGATTGATAACTCAGTCTGGGAAAACAAGATTTATTTCAGTACCAGTTGTAATTAGGTTTGAGCAAACTTCCAGTAATTGCAAATACTCTTATGTCGGTGCTTTGTGTCTATTGTCTTAATGTTAGTTTTTTTGTGTGTCTCGTACCGATCTTTTGAGTTAATTTGCTGATTTGTGCAGGTTGTTATTTTATTGTACTGTTACACCACTATCCCAGCTTTGGGATGGGTTGCTCACAAACATGTTGTTGTACTGTTACACCGCTGTCCAAGATTAGGGGGAGGATTGGGATCCCGCTAACATGTTAAACCCCGCCACATTCTGTATGTATGTGCTTGTCCCAAGTCAGGAGCCTGTAATTCAGTGGTTGCCGTTTGTTACTTTGTTATTCATATTTGTGTTTCGTTCATTTTTTTTGTTCATTAATTCGGCCGTTAGTTTTCTCGATTGAATTGTGTTACATTTTTGATTTCGAGGCCTTTTATAGCTGACTATGCGGTGTAGGCTTTGCTTATTGTGGAAGGCCGTACGATGAATTATAGCTGTTGATTTCTGTGTCATTTGATCTCTTGTGGAGAGTTGTCTCATTTGAAATCATACCACATCTTCGTTTTTATATCCACCATGCCATATTCTTTATTTGCCTGTCCCAGTGATGGAGCCTGTAGTTTAAAAGTTGTCGTTGGTTCCTGTCTCGACTCATATTTGATATTTTGCAAATTGTTTTGTTATGTATAATTAGGCTGTTAGTTTTTTCGTTTGAATTGTTCACATTTTTCATGTCGGGCCTTTCAGTTATAGACTACTTTACAGTATCAGGTTTTTGTCATTGTTGAAGGCCTTACGATTGTCTACAAAAAGCATTTGTCTACATGCCGTGACGGCAAAAAGCTCTACAGAGCTTATGTTTGTAGTATTTCATGTAACCCGACTTAAAAGAAATTTTTCTTATCTTATCTTATCTTTACATCCACTTCATATTTGAACTCCGGTGGATAGTTGCCTTATTAGCATTCATATTCCATCTCTTCATTTTTATATTATATACGGGACTTCTAAACTCGTGTTTTTCTGAACAAGCATGAAATAATTTTCACTGGGCGTTAAAATTAGCAACAAACAATCAATCAATTTAAACTTGTGTTAAATAAGAAGAAAACCATTTGATATTTATTTATTTGTTGGGGTGCATGGGGGACAGAAGGATTTCATATATGAATATGGTTGCCTGGTAAAAGCTGAAAAATAGGCATGATTAGCTACAGATTGAAATGAATAATAATGCCCTCTCTTCCCTTCCCCATCCTTCATCTATAAATTTAAACTGACCACCACGGAATAGCCCAATAGTGTTGAAAGTAGCGTTAAACACCAATCAATCAAAATCCCTTCCCTAGAATATCAAAAAATCGTCCCATAACTGTTATTGTCCGTGTAGTTCTTATATTTACCCAGCTTATCGTCCTACAGGGATGTCCTACTAAGGCTGTCATACCATAAAAACGTTTATAAAACAGCTCACATTCTAATATATCTGCATTCATAAATTTATTAATTTCATTTAGGCTAAACGACGCCATGTTTGTTATGTGCCTCTGCCGTCAAACTATCAAAAAAGAGGAGGTGGAAGAGAGCCAGAAGATCTTCCCAATGCAAAAAAAAAAAAACAGAAATGGATTTCTTCTAGCTCACTTCAGAAGAACAAACAAAAAAAAACGCCCCCCATTGATATGTTTTAAAAACGCCTTGCCCCTACCCTTTTTTCCAAAAAAATGCCATTATTAAATATATAAACATATATATAATCATCAAAATTAAAATGCTATTGTATTTTTATAAGACCTACTTTATTACATGACCAAAATTGCTGCAAGTTTTGTTTAATTAACATCGATTTTATATATATCCTAATTGGTCAATCAATTTTCCCCAAATTAAGTTAAGAGGAGGGGGGGGGGGGGGGGGGGGGGGGTAGGGGGTCAGTGAAAAAAACTATATGAATTAAGTTTTTTTTTATCCTACATTGAACTTTTGATGTCGTCCCTAATGTGCAAAAAAATAGATAAGGGGCGGGACCAAACCTATAGATAACATAATAAAGAAATGATGAAATATACAGAATACGTTGATTGACTTTTGGTTGCCTCATGTCCAGTGGCAAATATGTCACGCATGTTTAGAACAAATATAATAAAGATCACAGGATAAAGAATAGAGTGAAATGGTAAAAACTAAAAGATATAGAATTATAGAAACGATCTTTGATCTGAAACCCCTACCCTCACACACACACCATAACCATTACTGCCAATACTCGCATATATACATCTCTATACAAATATCTAAATTTGAACCTACTCCCCCCTCCTCTAGACACCGAGGTTTTGGATCCGCCCCTGTTAAATGTGTCTAATTATATACATTGTGTACGGGTCTAGATAATAGCTAAACGTACAATCATACAATTTGTTGGATACCTAATTATATTATATAATTTGTCACAAAATAAACTTGTATACCCCCCTTCCCAATGCAGTATTGAAAATTAAATCATTTGAAAGTCCTGAAGATAAAATATGTTTTGAAATATGCCCGGCATACTTATTTATGCAAAGACATATAGTAATTATTGAACTACTGTGGGGCTTGAAAAAAAATCTATTTAAGGGATTCGGAGACGAGAACAGTAAATAAAAGCTCAGCAACGAATCCTAAATGTAAAATGATTTGCAGCATAAGACACGAGAGCACATATTATAGATAGTATTAAATATGAAGTTCACGCCTCATATAGTGAAGTCCTATGTCATAGGACTATTGTTGTAACATGGGTTAGTAACTGGTTCCAATTTATCCTGAATTGTCTTGATTAAAGAATTAGTTCCGGAGTATAACAGCTTATGTCTCTACTTGTGGGTTTCTGGTTCTGCTGTCGTAATTGGGTGATTTTTTTTCTACATGTAGTAAAAAAGAGGGGGCTTAGTCCAAATAATTGTAACGTCCTGGATGCTTTTTATTCTTTTTTCATGTGTGCCTTCCTGCAACGTCTCTGAGGATCAAGAAAAGTAAAAAATGATATAGCACTAAAGAACGTCATGATTACATGTATCTGGACTTAGAAGGGGGAGGGGGGCTAGCTATGTATTTTTTTTTATTTCAATGTGTAGACATTTGACCTTATGACGTCAAAGAATTTCCCATAATGCAATTATTGCATATAAATAAAAAAAACTACTTTTACCAATTGAATAAAAAATATTGCATTCAAATGACATTTTATACCAATTGAATAAAAAATATTGCATTTGAACGAAAACTATACCATTTGAATGAAAAATTATACCATTTGAATGAAAAATTATACCATTTGAATGAAAAATTATACCATCTGAATAAAAAATATTGCATTTAAATGAAAAAATATACCATTCAAATAAAAATTATTGCATTTAAAATAAGAAATATACCAATTAAATAAGAAATATTGCATTTAAATGAAAAATATCAAATTTTTGCAACCAATACCATGCCATAACGTAATGTAAACATTGTTCTATTGCATGTCTCGGTTTCGTCTCACTTATTTTTCACGTGCTCCATGGTCTTTGTTTATTGAGGTCACGCTAGATAAACTTCGGTAATAAAACAAGAAAATTTATTAGCAGGCCGTGAAAGTTTTCACGGCTGAATGAAATATTTTTTGTCGATAATATGTTATGGATTCGTAATAAATGTAAACGAAATCATGCATAGAAAACTTAGTTTAGTATTATATATATATACATATATATATGCATTGGTTCAATAATTTCCTTTACATTATAATCTCAAGAAACTCGTTTCATAGGCTTTAAAAAAACATTTAAAAATTAAAGAATACAGAAAGTCCCTCGTAAATGGGATAACAACGTATTAACCAATTATGTTTAAAATGTATTGATTCAAAAAGACAAATATAATATTTCTCTAATTCGATGGATAGCTTCAGTTGAAATTATTTGAAATGTGCGCTCTATTGATCATCCGGAAATAAAATCTGTTACATTCCGGATTTGTTTCCACCAATTAAAACTTCCCACGTGTGGTTCGAAGGTTAAAAAGTTGTACAGGCAAAACAAACGACATGTTCTTCTCTTCTTCTGTCACGTAGAGTGAAACACCATGTAATTTAACAAAATGACAGGTGAAAAGATAACAATTTTCACAAAAAGCGATCTCCGGCGATATGAAAATGCGAGCAATAGGTGGGATGCAAAGATCGATGCAGATGGAGGTCCAAATCCAAGTGAAAAGAAATTACCAAGCAAAGGAACTTGTTTTATTTGCTAGAGATAATCAATATCCGCTTTTGAAGAAAAACAAAGGAAATTTTATATTATTTGCATTATTCTTTGGGGCTTCAGCAATTTTATTTTGTTGTTGTAAGTATTATTAAAATTATAATAAACATATATATTTCTCGAGCAATTATTGTCTGTTATGTGTATAAGGAAGCTACCATTTGATTTTTATGGGGGGGGGGGGGGGGGATAAAAAATGTTGTCCTGCCTTTTTCTAGTTGTAAACTCTGTCCTGCCTTTTTATTTTTCACTCTATTCAGTCCTGCCTTTTGTTTTTATTAGTTTATCCCGACTTTTTTTTACATATGTTGTCATCCTGCCTTTTTTTTTGCCAAGTTGCTCATCCTGCCTTTTTTTATATTACCAGTATTACCCATTTCAGGGAGTATTGCCACTAAGGAAAACCTGGGTTTTTCCACTCCAATTTTCCTGCTTGGGTAATACTTTGCCAATCCTGAATAAGAATGATATAATATTAATAAAAAAAAATAAAAAAATGTTCTATAATCATTAATTGAAAGGTTTATATACTAGACCACCTTTAAAAAAAAAATATACATTTTGCATATATACAATTTAAAATAAGTTAATAAAAAAGTAGGAGAAAGAGTTTTTTACTTAGATTAAGTTCCAAAAATGTCTTGACAACCATATGATCACAAACCTTTTGTCATTAGGTTGGGATGTTATATCTGCTTGCAGAAATGTATAAGGAACCTTACAAGTACTTTTAATGAAATGTTTTAGTCTACATTTTTTTTTAATATTATTTTTCTTTTTGTAGTCGTCATTATTTGGATTGGACACTCAGAGGAATTGCAGGTGTTTCACTCTAGTGGCCAGCATACAATAAGATCATTAGAACAAGAGTTTGAGGAGGGCCAGTTGACCAAAGTGAATAGGTCATTTTTAGATGACCTCCAGTACGACTTGTGTCACTCGCCAGATGAACCAATACTAGGACTAGAAGGTTTGCATACTGTAATGGATACAAATCTTGAGTTGAGGGGATTAATTTTGCTGCTTTTACCATGAGCAGGAAATGGTGAAAAATATTCTGTCTTGTAAACTTGGATTTAAAGGAAGATAAGAGTTAGGGACATGAAAAAAAGGAGAAAATAAAACATGATAAACAGATTGTGTCTTTGAAATCATGAAATTGAATGGCCATGAAAAATGGATCATTTTACAGTGCTACATGTAGGATATAATATACTAAAAATTGATTCTTCCTTTTGTCCTTTTGACCTACATTACCTTTTAAAATCAGTTTGTTAGGTAACTAAGTTACAAATGTATGTTTTTATTGGAATATTTTTAAGTGGGATGCCTATATGACAGAAATTTATTGAAAGTTATGAAATAATTCTGCTACCATCCCACCAGTAGCCAGAGGGGTTGTGGTGACCTCACCCCCTGAAAAAAGATATAAAGGACTATTTCTCCAGATTCAAATTGCAGTTTGATTATCAATGTCAGAGCATCATGACCCCAAATTACCCCATCAGACACATCCTGGCTACGGGCCTGACTATGAATGGTTGAGAAAGGCAGCTAATAAAGAAGTATATCCAAAACTTAAATCCTGTTAGATACAAAAAAGTGGTAGTTCTACATCTGATGCTCATTAACAGGGTAGATATGCAAGGTGAGAGACTGAGAGGAAGCATGAAAAATTTTAGTTTTTGCTTTAGGCTAAAATTGGGTTTTTTGGGTAACATATTTCCGTCACACTTTTCAAGTACTACTGAACAGATTGACATCATCTTTAGTCAGCAACTTGTCAATGATGAGTTGTAATGTGTGAGCAGACCTGCTACACACAAACACCCTGTTTTCCCATAATTTGAATGACTAGTAGGTTTATTCTTAGTACAACCAACAGATGCAATCTTGTTATATTCCACGCAACTTCGTTGCGTAGTGTATAATGTTTTTAACCAGTCCGTCTGTCTGTCTGTCAGTCCGTCAGTCCTGTTCTTGTCATCTCAACTCCTCTGAACCCCACACAATAGAATTTCAAGAAACTTTGTAAATAATAAGGTCACTCTATGTAGATGTGCATACCGACAGGAAATTATTCATTTTTTTTCTAGGCGTTATGCCCTTTGAACTTAGAATTTTGGCCTAAATATATTACTGCATCAGTTGGTCATCTCAACCTCTCTGAAACCACACAACAGAATTTCATGAAACTTTGTAGAAGATAAGGACATATTATGTAGATGTGCATATCAACAGGAAATTGTTATCAGTTGACTTTTTTAGGAGTTATGAGTCTTTGAACTTAGACATCTGATGAGATTTTGTTTGCCAAGTGACAATGTGGGGGAGTGGGGTATACATGTCAGCTTGCTCACAAAGATTCTTTAATTATTTATTGTCATGTGACTTTTTATTTGGACCTGTGAATGATAATTGTCAACTGGACTGAATCATGTGAATGTTTAAGTAACCCATCCACTCAAGCACCTTTGTAAACTGTTTTGAGTAGTTTAAAGCATATTTTCCGTTTTATGTCATTTAATATTCCTCAGAAAAAAATGTATTTATACATGTATAAACATTTTGAGTAAAATTTGACACAGATGGTGTTATTTAAGTTGTGCAGCTGACTTTAAAGATATATAAAGATTTCACACTTCTGAATATGAGCAAACCTATTGAAAGTTATTCTAGAAACGTGTGTTATGGGCATGAAAGTTAGTATTATAAATTTTTGTTTGCTTAATGCAGACTAAACACATTTGAAATGACAGATTGTTTATCTGACCTGTGTGTACAACTTTCCATTTTAGAACCTCGATAAATGTTTGAAAATAACTCATTACATGGTTACACTAAAATGCTTAGTCATGGTTTGTTTTTTAAATGATGAGGTAACATTTATTGTTTACATTAGTTTTAAAACTTTAAGCAGAAAAAGGAGTGAAATGTCATTAGGAAATAGGATAGATGGAAGAGGACATAGACAACATTCTTTATAAATATTGGGAATTACACAATGGCAACTTTTAAAATCTCCAAATGGGAGATCTTTCGATCTAGGCACAACTTTCTATGAGGGAGATTCACTATAGAACCTATATTACGTTATTTTCATACTCTTTCATACTCTTTAAGGGCTACATGTACATGTATGTAAAAAAAAGTGAAAATAGGGTGCCTTGGTTTGAGTGGGGATGCAAGTAACTTTCTTCCAAAGACTTCAGACCATCCAACCCTAATTATAAATGTAATGCATTATTATTTGAAAAATGTTTTAAGTGTACAAATTTTACAATCAACATTTAAATAAATCCAATCTTAAAACAGCTGACTCAGGTAACTTAAACATTTTGTATTGTGTCAACAAACATTGTATTAACAATAAGTTGCCTACTATTATCAGACTAATAACTTCCTCGTATGAAAAGATGGTGAAAGATGAGAAAAGAAGTTGATTTTTTCCCTCCAAAAGTCATAGGGAGATTTTACCTTCTGTTCAGAAGGTTAGGCCTTCAGAAAGAGATTTTTAGAATTTTTTGGGAGCCTCCCAGGGATTCTTTATGGTTACACCCCAGTTCTATTGTTATACTTCATTGTTTCTATTTCTGAAACAAGTGTAAATTGAATAGATCTATTGTTACGAATAACAATGGATTTTGACCACAGGGTGTGACGAGCAGGGTTTTCTACATCCCACAAACAAAGTCCATTGTTATTCGTAACAATAGAAATTGATTATTTTTTTAAATAGCATGAGCATAAGAAATTACTAATAGTGCTCACTACAAATTGTTTCAAGATATTAAAAAAACACATTTTAGGAAATTCCAATAGCGAAAAAAAAATTAAGCATCTATTTTGAATACAAAATTATCCTTTAAATACTCCTTTGCTTCAAGGTATATTTTTTTTATCCCAGTCATATGTCTCTATTCTAATTTCTAAAGCATTGAAAAACGGGGATTCTAACTCCCGAGAAGAGTGGAGAGGGGCTTTTTTTCTATAAAACAGTATTAAAGATATAAAATAAAGTTATGATTACCTTTATTAAACTGATACAGGTAAGTACTTTGGGTTATAATGTTGTCTTCATCTTTAGTCTCTTCTATCAAATCCAACGCTTGCCACAAAATGTCGTCCGTCTTATACCCGTCCATATTGACAACTGAATACAAGGAGCATGATGTATTTTTTATTTGTAAGAAAAATACACGAAACAGTCAACCTTGACCTGCTGATCCATATTAGCACATGGATTTAACGGGAATATGTAAGACAACTTTGACATTTGTAAAATATACTCACTTGTCAAAGAAAGGTTACTAGTGGGGTTTCATGTAATAAAAAAAATTCTTATAAATCATGGTTTGATATTGTCTTTTATCATTTTTTTTTCATTTAATAATCAATGTTAACAAATATAGGGTTTAGAATGGGGTGTAAATTAGTTATACACCTCGGGATACGTCGTGTCTGGATAAGAAACCCCTCCGGCCTCTGGCCGACGGGATTTCTTATCCAGACACACCTATCCCTCGGTGTATAACTATTACGAAAGATGACACCTTTGTAAATACTGCTTATTCAGAAAGTATTTTATGGGTGAATGAACAGAATTATTGATTGTTACTTTTACCTTGAAAACAGAATTTTAACTAAAGAAACCTCAGATAACAAATGAATCTTAAGCTTCTAATTGATCTATGAGGAACCTAATTGTTTTACTTTTTGATAAATTACTTATAAAACATTTACATCACCTTTTCAACTTGTGTATCAAAAGGTGGGTAAATTCCCAACAACTTGAGAAAGAGTATGATAATTCTACTGTATAAAGGTGGTAACAAACGTAAAACAGATACATATAGATTCTACCACTGCATCGAGTGTGATACGATATTTATCCACTCGAGACAGCTAAATTTTCAAATTTAAAACGCGAGGCTTGCTGAGCGTTTTAAATATTTAAAATTTTACTGTCGAGAGTGGATAAATATCGTATTACACGAGATTTGGTGGTGGAATCTGTTTCTCTAATGATTTTCAAACAATATGCAGGCAAACTTATTCCTTCTCTTTGAATGATCTGCAAAAAGATGTGTTCTTTCTATGTGACGTCATCAGGCATGGTCGCCTTTTTTCATGCCGTCACAATAGGAAATTCAGAGGAAAGCAAGAAAATTCGACGTCATAATCGGATTTTAACCAATGAAGAACTGAGATCAAACGAACCACACGTTGATTAAATTTTTTTTATACAATGGGTGCAGAAAGGGATAAATTGACGAAGAATTAGAGAAATATAGATTCTTACATTGATACCAGTGGATTATCAGATTTATCCAATCGAGATAGTTAAATTATCAATTTTAAAGTCTGAGCCTTGGCGAGGACTTTAAAATTTATAATTTAACTATCGAGATTGGATAAATCCGATAATTCACGAGTAACTATGTAAGAATCTGTTTCTCTAATGATATAAAAAATACATTTTCATTTTTTGTTAAACCAAAACCCCCTTCGAGTGCCTTCCACATTTTACAAAGTTGTCAATTTCATTAACACCTGTTAGCATATTTTGAGCTGATAAAGGTTATGACCCTTAAATTCATCCAATCATCTTCTGAGATCACCGGCAACCACACGTTGATTAAATTTTTTTTATACAATGAGTGCAGAATGGTATGTAAATGTCAAAGAATAAGAGAAAAACTCATACAGAGGCATATCATTAGTCCCTTCTATTAAAAAGGTCTTCAAGAAGATGGTTGACTTGCTACTTTTCTTGTTCCGTACTGACTTTCCAAATGCTCAACAGGTAGCTTACCAAAAGTTCCTGTCTAGTTTAAATGTATCTTTTAACCTTCAAGAAGCAATTATTTAACAAATAGAAAGGAACAGAACAATTTTTGTAATTTTTATTGGACAGCACTAAGGCTTTATACACAGTGCCCCCTGATTGGTTACACATTAAGATTATTGGGAGCCTCTAAGGTATACCCTTTGGGAAAGTTGACCTTTGTCATGTTTGTAAATACTGCTTATTCAGAAACTATTGTGTGCTTGTATACACAATTATTGATTGTTATTATTACCTTGAAGACAGATGTTTCAAAACAGAAACCTCAGACAACAAGTGAATATTCAGCTATTGCATGTTCTCAATGCAACTGAACTGTTTTATCAAATGAGGCAAAATTGCTTTCTTTTTCATATTTACCAGAAATTACACCTTAAAAACTGGGTCAGAAACTAACAAGATCAATTTCCAAATTTAGTTAATTACTTGTTTGTTTTTATAAGAAAAGTGGCAGTGATCAACCAATCTAATTTATTGTTGATAAAAAAAAAATGTTAAGAAATGAGATGTGAATCAACAGGAGTTCATTTTGGAAATTTAAAGAGACCATGATTAAGTTTTTCAATAGAAGAGTCAGGGCCTTAGAAGCCAAATATTGTTTTATTTGGTTCAAATAACACAAATTTATTTCTTATTTTCAGGATTTGTACCACAAGGATTTAAACTACAACAAACTCACGTACTGATCATTCCAGGGGAGGTTACTCCAAATATATCAGGAAAGATAACTCTAAATGCAACCAGGTCCACCTATCTCTATTGTGAACAGGCTGACTGCAGATTTGGAGCATTTCGTAGATTGAATCCCAAATTAAAGTTTTTTCAGGAAAAGATAAATAATGATGAAAGATTCCTAAGAGAATTTGAGTCTAATGTTGCCAATGACTTGGCCTGTCATAATGAGTTATCTCCCATAGGTATCCAAAGATTGGTTAGTCTGGGAGAATTTGTGAAAGATGTCTACCTGAAAGATCTGAAACTAGAGAGTAGTTTGATTCAACCCAAACATATAAAGCTATGCAGAAATGAGGAAAGTATAACAGCTAAATCATCCCTGGCTTTTCTTTTTGGCTTGCTATCTGAAGGTCATTTGAGAAAATTCAATACCTCAGCAGTCTCAAGAAATTTGTGTTCAGAAAAACATGGAATGTCTCATGTAGATTGCAATTGTCCAGGTTTATACAGAACAGAAAATAATTTCCGAGAGCAACTCTTACATGGTCTGAAGAAGGGAGAAAAATCAAATTTACCCATGACAGTTTTACGTCAAATATTGTCAAATTCTTGTCTTCATCCAAATTTTTCCTGCTTTGTTCAGAATAGATTAGAAGGTATTGGTAGTGTAAAAGAATTGCTTAAGAATGAAAATACATTGTATGAAAAATTATCCAATGATGTTGGTTTTGTTAATTTTGTTAATGTTTATTTATATCCATTTATGAACAATCTAATCCAAACTTTCCGTCATGCAGATTATGTATTTGAGAAATTGTTTTTACATTTTGTTGATGAAAGTTTTATGTTTTACATGTTGAATGTACTGAAACATCCCAAGATAACATGGCCAAGGCCTGGATCAAGAATTGTTTTTGAATTATACAAGAAATCTGGTCAGGTATTTCAGCCATATTATGTTCGCATTTTGTTCAATGGTGCTAATGTTTCAACATTTGTCCCCTTATGTGACATTAATAATGAGAGTGGTCTTTGTCGTTTGAAGAATTTTGCGGAATTATTGCATTTTAAAACATCCACCAAACAAGATCTACATAGTGCATATCAGAGCTATTGTTAATTTTGCAAGGGTTTGTGTACTTAGTAACATAGTTTTATTTTAAGTTCCAATCCAGTATTCATTCAGACCAAAAAGTTGACAAAGTCAATTTTAAGCTGAAGGCAGTTCCATTTGGACATGCATGATACCCAGGGAAGGCACTTTCAAAATGGGGTAACAACCTATAGAAGCAGTTTAAGAAAGTCCCTTACATTTTCACTGTCACATGACACCCACTCTTAGTTGGAATTCTAAAGTGCCTTCCCTAGGTCTCATTCATGTTGTTATGGAACAACACTGAGTAAGATTTTGAAAAAACTTTGCCTACATTGAAGTCTCATTTTCTTTTAGGTAAGCCTTCAACATTTTAAGAAAACTAGTGTTATAGTTTTATATGGAATTTTTGTTTCTTCATACATTTAAACAAAAATCAAGGCAATTAGCAGCCACATACATTTAAACAAAAATCAAGGCAATTAGCAGCCATTCTATATTTACTAAATCAAATTTATAGTCTAGATGGGCCTCATTTTCACAGGTTGCAGTGTATAATTTTTATAAATGTCTAGGGTAAATGAAAGATTTAACATTACACACCTGTAACACATGTTTTTTTTTTTATGCCCCAGCCATAGGCAACAGGGGCATTAAGGGTTACCCTTGACCGTCCGTCCATCTGTCTGTCCCATTTTTGTTTCCGCACTCTGACTTGAGTTTTTTTTAATCCAAATTTTATGAATCTCATACACAATGCTTAGAACCAAAACTATCAGACAGAGTTTAAATTTGGGCTGTAAGTCACTTACCATTCTAGTGAAATGCCCCTTTATAACTTGGAAAATTTCAAGTTTTTTGTTTCCCCAACATTAACTTAGTTTGCCTCATCCAAATTTTAGGAAACTCATCCACAATGCTAAGAACCACAACACCCAGACAGAGTTCAAATTTTGTCTGTGAGTCCTTTGCCATATAGAATTATTCCCTTTTAAAATTGAAAAAATGCAAAGCTTGAGCAGGGGCATTCGTGTCCTTAATCACATTCTTCTTTTAAGTTGCTTTAAATTTGCGGGATTTAAAATTTAAAATCAGAGAAAAGAAACCCCAAATTCTTTCAGTTAATAGGTAATGGTTTACAAGTGGATGTCCTAACCCCAATAATTCAATCGTTATATTCCACTGCTCTACGATGGCTACATTAACGTCTGAAGGCCTTGTCAATAAAAAAATCGTCAAATAATCTTTCGGAATAAGCTCGGGATTTACCTATCTCGATAACATTGAGCTATTAGCTGATTGGCTCTCTCTCACAGGGAGCACCAATCAAAATCCTGGTTTCGTGACGTGTTTTTATTGTATAAAGAATTCAGGCCCTCGCGAGTTGGAGAGTCGATCACGGGGAGGGACTGAATTATTAGGGTTAGTGGATGTCCCTTCTAGTTTATAAATTAAGGGAAGATAAATCAATGATTTCAACTTCGCAAAATGTTACAAAGAGTATGAAAGAATCGTCACAAAATGTTACAAAGTGTTTGAGATTTGTCACATGATTACAAGTGGCAGATGGTTTATACATTGTAGAAAACTATATGATCTTTAATAGTGTATAACATTTGTATTTTGTTTAGCAAAACTTTAAGCTTTGTTAGAAAATTTAAGCAACGAACAAAATCAATGTTAACCAGGTGCTGATTTTTTAAGCTCAGCAAGTCACAGACATCAATCTGTACTTGTTTTATGTTTTAATTTTGATTGTTTATAATTAAATGATTATCATGATTATGTTGCAAAATTTTACCATGTATTGTTTATGTTTGTATAATATTTATTTTTGGAAGTCAATAATTTTAGATTGTACTTCCTGGTGCTTGCATTTGTATTTAATATTGGTTTATTTTTTAAACTTACAATTGTGAATTCATTTATATACATTGTATGATAATTTTTGCAGATTTCATGGGTACAGTAAAACAATGAATTTGAATAATCAACAAAATATGCAAATTTTCTCAAACTACATTTTTGGGAACCATTTAATATAATTGATCCCACACTGTCAGTATTTTCAGACCAAAAAAAAATCCAGCTTAACTATTTGTTCGATAGTGGATGCAGTCCTAATACATCACAGTCAAATAATCAGTTTTGGAAAAATCATATACTAGTAAATCCAAAACAGCTAACCATCTATTTTCTCTTTTACACATGTGCAGTAATCCTTTTACCTGAATAATTCAGTCTTAATATTCCACTGATCTATGATTACTTCATTAACTCCTGAATGCATAGACAATGAAAATTTGACAATCATTTGTAATTAGCTCGGGATTTACCTATCTCGATAAAATTGAAATGACTGCTGATTGGTCACCTCTCCTACTGGACACCAACCAAAATCCAGGATTCTTGAAGAGTTTTTAGCTTGTTAGGAAATCAGGCCCTCGCAAGTAGGAGAGATAGATTATGGGTAGGGACTGAATTATTCAGGTTATAATTCTTTCTGTTTATTTTTTGTATGGGAGCAGCCATCTTGTTGCTATACCAACAGAGCACTTCCAATATCAAATGTAATTGTAACAGTTTCAGACATTTTGAATTTTGAAATCACTTTTCAAAAACAAAGATTTTAAACAAAAAAATGACCCTTTTGATTTTTGTAATTACCAAAAAGAATAACAGCAATGCACTATTTATATGGACTTGTCCTCTTTCACAGGTAACCCATGCCTCATAATAGATTTAAGGGCATACGATACAGTTTTGATCCCACGGTGATTTTTTTACGAAAATTTGCATACAAGCTATTATTCACCTAGTCAATTCAAATATGTAATAAAAAATATATCTTCATGTGCTACTTTTAGAGATAAATGTGGTCAAAATTTTAGACATTTGCTCAAAATTTCGGTTTCTTGGACATTTCTATCCTCTGCACCGGCATACCTAACTTTTTTTGTTTCAAAAGATAACAACAAGCTGATTTTTGTAAAAACATTTTGAATATCTTCTTAACATAATTTTTTTAGCAACAATTCTTTGGAAATTGTTCATTTTGTTTATGAATTTTTATGTTTAAGAAAAAAACAGCATTTTTTATATGTGTATTTATCTAATTTAAAAAAAATTGATCTCTGATTTTTTTATAAAAATTAACATGAATTAATACAAATAATCTTCATTCAAAATCAAGCCAGATGCCTTTTTTTAAAAAAAAAGGTCCATGAACTCCTTTTCAAGTTAATGATTAAAAAATCAGTTGAAAAATGCATCATTTTCCAATATGTCAACATTTGACATTGAGAAAAATAACATTTAAGTTAGCAACATCCTACATAACCTCCCCTGTAACTGTATCATATGCCCTGAAGCAGCTGGAGTTGGAGAAAGCTGAACACACAAGACTGAGTTTTATCACTTGATAGAAAACCAGTTTTCTTAAACTCTTGTTGCACTTTACAGATCATGTCTCATATTCACATGTTCAATTATTGTAATGTTATGTACTGAATACCTGCTTTTATGCATTTATCAATATTGAAAATATTGGCTGTGAGTCTTAATATGAAAACTTTTCGCAGAGGAGAAGCTTGAAAAAAATTTTACACTGTCGAGCAGCTCATATTTTATGAGAAAGGTCTGATAATTGTGTTTTTTTTTCAAAATTGTACCTGTGTGTGATCTTTGTGATCAAAACAATGGTTGAAAGTTAAACTTCGTTGTGTTGTGCAAGTTCATATATTGTATACTTGATAAGTTCAAGTCACACTTGTCAACATCATGCAAACATTATGATATCATTCCAGGTCAAAATAATTTTGTCAAAATCTGTGATTTTAAATTTAATAATCATGAAAACTATTTCAACCATTTAAATATCATGTAAATGTTCTATGAATTCTTTAGGTCTGTTTTTATTTAGGTATGTCAGATATTGTTTGTGTATTTTGTTATTGCTTTATTAATTTTTTTAGCTAGTGGAAATGTTGCTTTTAGACTTAAAATTTCTGATGAAGTGACTAGACAAGTTCTGTACTTTTTCAGAATCAGCACATTGTGTTCTAATATAGTATATAATGTTTTTTAGAAGGTTGCTTACCAATTCCTGGAATATGCACCAGATAATATAGTTATACCAATGCAAACAGAATTACTCTGTTTGTCCATGTGCCTCGTAAGCAAAACCCCGCCTTAAAGGCTTAATGGATATAGATGAAACTTTACACAGTTGTAGAACACTCCCAAAGGATGTGCATAAAGGAATTCTATCCTTTTTAAAATATGAATTTCAGTGTGTGGTATCCTTTTGCAAGTTCACTCACAGTATTTGATTACAGTAAGTTCCACATATTTATAGTTTAAATTTGTTTTAGATCAGAAGAAAACTTTATGTCTGATGTAATTTAGCAAGCTTGTACTCTAAGCTGCCGTTATTGACAGCTTTCCAAAATTGTAGTAGCTAGAACTGTTATCATTTAAGCCACTTGCAAATCATTTCTCAGGTTACTGATTATTTTCGTAAAGTATTGTATCAAATTAGTCAGGCTTTTATTTTGATAGCCCAATATCAAAGTATAGTAAAAGTGGTCAATGGTATGATATCTACACTTAATTTTCCAGACTGACGAAAAAGTATTGTTCAAATAGTCTTTTTTTAAATTTGTGTGCCAAATGTAATTGTCATGAGTAACAATTGTCAATAGCAGCCTTTCGTTTAACAAAAATGGGCTATAATCTCAGTTAATTAGTTAGATCTGTGTATATCAATATATAAACTGTTATTGTTTTATATTTTTGCCAATCAAGTTTTATTTATTATTTTTTGACATATTTTAACAGGTGACAAACAGTGATTTGTACTTGTTATGTGCCTGTGTATATACTAGTCTATATTTTATTAATTTTCTGTCATTGTGTGATAACATATGTATGATTGTAAATTACTTAAGTTGATATGAGTGAATTTTCAAGATTTAGAAATGCCATGATCTTTCTTAAAATAGGATAGAATTTTACATAGAACAATGGTTAGATCAATATAGTGAATTTATCAATTATCATAAAATATGTACTAATAGTAAGAATTAAAGAGTCATAAACAGTTTTTGATGAATTTGAACATTTATTATGATACAAGAATGTTATCTAATTGGTTTTAATAAAAAGTACATTTTCAATATTTCCTGACATTATAGTAAGATATTTAGTGCTCAAAGGGAGATAACTCTATTGGATTATAGATTAAATACAAAAGCATAAATTTCTTTAGATACATCAAGTTCATGTTGTGTCCCTTCAAAGAAATAAATTAATCTCTGTCAAGTATATTTAATCTGAGAATTTCATTCTATTAAGTTAGTGTCACAAATTTCTTTTTTATTAACTTCATTTATAAAGTAAGCAGCTTTTACCTTCCCATCTCTTCTGAGAACTGGATTTTGGTCCAGGTTTTTTTTTTTATGAATTTGGCAAACTAAACTGTTGTCAACTATAAAAAGGCAAACTGAGAGTTGTCAAAAAATGAATTAAGGCAATTTTGTTAATTCTGAAATTTATAAAATTAGCTGGATCGGTTAGATTACTGTATTCGAAGAGTTGCCAATGCCAGTTGGGAATTTGAGGGTTGTAAATGTAGAACAGTTGTCTGTTTTTAATTTTTTGGTAAAATTGGTTAAAACTGTAAAGTTAAAATTTTATTACCCACAAAACATATATGTTTTCTATTTTACTGTGCTACTGCACTTAATTTACTCGGTAAAATAAAAACAAAAAACGTTGATATTATAAATTCATTCATGCAAGTCTATCGACAAATTAGTATTTTGTTGAAAATTGGGGTTTAACTTTTAGTCATTAAATCCAGGGAATTTAAAATACCAGGAAATGAAAGTTAATCCTGAGTTCATTCCAAGTTAACACATATACGAAGTTCTAATTAATATTGGAAAAAAAACTGTCAGACCCTACTTGTTTTAAGCTTTGTAACCAGAAACAAACAACACATTTTGGGGCTTTTCATTTAGAAATTTATGGTGATTTAAATCTTTGTTGATCCAGTTTCATAGATCTGAAAATTTTAGTTTGTTCTAAATAATGGATAGATTTGAACAATTGTACAGTTTATTTTTATCCCAAGTAGTAAAGAAGCAATCTGCTTTACATCCAAAAATCAATTTATTTTTCTGTTTATATGAATACATCTGTTAGCATAGAATTTTATGTATATATGCAAATCCATGTTTATGAAATATTTATTATTCCAATCTGCAGTGTGTTTGTCTGCATGGAAGCAGAAAATATGTTCAAAACCATGTTCAAGAGAATATTTTTTTTTTATACACTATGAATTTTTCAAGCATATCTCAGGCAGTGATTTGAATTTGCTTGTTTCATATCCATGCAAGTCAAATTTGTTAGTATATTTCCCCAGTATATACAGATATTGTTATTTTGCAGTGAAAAAGGTTAATTCAGATTCAGATGAACAAATGTGTTTTTTAATGTTTATACACTATATTATCTACAAGCATTTCTTAGACAGTGATCTGAACTTGCTTGCAGATGATCCTAATCTGTATTCAGATGCTTTTATTTGTTGAATAAATTATATTGGTTTTTTAATGTGTTCATTTATATTTGAGGTAAAATATCTGTCCTTCATACTGCAGCTGGTATACTTTCTGTTGTTTTTGTCTGGCCTGCGATGAAAGTTGCGGAAAGCGAGACATAGGGATTGCTTTTCCGGCGACGGCAGTGGAGTCAATAATTGTTGAGTTTTCTGCTTAAGTTAGTTTGATAGGAACTACTTGTGATAGATCATTGATATTTAATATAAAGAAGCATTACTATTTTGACAACTATTTCGAGGCCCTGCTCCCTAGGTCATGGTCCAGCAACTTTGAATTAACTAGCAATTTTCAATGTTAAGTTTTCTGCTTAAGTTAGTTTGATAGGAACTACTTGTGATAGACCATTGATATTTAATATGAAGTTGCATTACTATCAGTCTTTATTGATTGACGACTATTTTGAGGCCCTGCCCCCTAAGTCTAAGTGACTTTGAATTAATAAGCAATTTTCAATGTTAAGTTTTCTGCTTAAGCTTAAGTTTATTAGTTAGTTTGATAGGATCTACTTGTGATAGATCAATGATATTTTGTATGAAGTCGAATTACTGTCAGTGCATATCAGTTTGACATCTATTTTGAGGCCCTGGTCCCTACGACATTGTCCAGTGACTTTGAATTAATAAGCAATTTTCAATGTTAAGTTTTCTGCTTGAGTTAGTTTGATAGGATCTACTTGTGATAGATCAATGATATTTTGTATGAAGTTGCATTACTATTAGTACATATCTGTTTGACGACTATTTTGAGGCCCTGCCCCCAAGGTCATGGTCCAGTGACTTTGAATTTATTAGCAATTTTCAATGTTAAGTTTTTTGCTTAAGTCTGTTTGATAACAACTACTTGTGACAGATCAATGATATTTTGTATAAAGTTGCATTATGATCAGTACATCTGTGTTTGTCGACCATTTCTAGGCCCTGCCCACAAGATCATGGTCTAGCGACTTTGAATTCATAAGCAATGTTGCTGTCCATCAGATTGTCTTTTTCTGAATTTTTTGTGGACAGGTGAGACATATCTCTGTGTCAACAGTTTATTTTACTTATGTACCAACAAAGTGATGCTCAATGTTTATTTCATGTCAATCCCTGGCACAACCAAGGACTCTTTTTCGGGAGTGAAACTAAATTTTGTTTTGTTAACATTTTAACATGGCTAATATTGTGGCCATTTAAATCTGCAGTATAACAACAGTATCAGATCAATATCTGGAAATATATTGTATTTGGCATGAACTCGTTGAAGAGCTTGGTAAACTTACCCTTTTCTCAGTTTCTAAGCCATACAAAACAAAGTTGATACTTTCTGACAATGACCTTTTATTATATATGTATATGTTGACTGTTTTGATGTACCTGATGGGCATTTGTGCTAATGATGAGGAATGAAAGCCGTGGTATATAGGCCAAGGAATAAATAATGTGTTATAAAAGCAAAAGAATCAAATATGTGGTATATAGGCAAAAGGAATAAATGATATATAGGCCAAGGAATAAAATATGTGATATTTAAGCCAAAGAAAAACAAGATGCGATATATAAGCTAAGGGATGAAAGCAGTGCCAAGGAATAAAAAAGTGTGGTATGCAGGCCAAGGAATAAAAAAATGAGATTTATAGGCCAATGAGACTTCTACAAAACAACACAATAGTGAAAAAGTAAAAAATTTCTTGGGAGTCAACATTTAAAAAAAGACAAGTGTCTGTTTAGTATATTATGCTCTTACATGCACTGCTTTTAGAAAAGGTTGAAATGAACTTAACAGAGACCATGGGAGATCTGTTAACACAAACAAATTTCTTAAATTACAAAAACTTTAAAGATATAACTAAATACAACCACTGACAAGGTTCCTGACTTGGGACAGGCATATGAGCATGTAGAGTGTTAAAGTAGATTTTATATACCGGTTTATAGTAGTAAAGGGGCATTATGTTTTCTAGTCTGTGCACTTAAAATAAATTAACAGGAATGTTGTTTGCAGTTACACATTTCATCTTAAGTTACTAGCAAACTAAGCCGGCAACATTACATGATCCCATTGCAACACCACACGGGACTCCTATCACTGGACCGCATCCTGCAAAACATATTCCTGCCGTTAAAGCTGCACAAATGACACATCCTATTGTTGAAGCGATACATCCACCTGTTATAGCCGAACACATCTGGGTTCTTGCATTCTCTTTACATCTTGTGTCTCTTTTTGAACTGTTAATTTGTCCGAAATCCTCGAGCATTTGCTCACCAGATTCTTTTGCCACCGCCTCTAAGTCAGAAAATTTCTCGATTACTTTCAAAACGTAGTCATGACTCAGTACGCAGTCTGAAAAATGCGTTCCACACTGATGGCTGTCTTGTACGGTCTGTCCATATTCTGCCGCTTGGACAAGTTCTTCAATACTGTGAAAGTTCTTCAACATTTCTAATGCCCTTTTCTTCTGTTCTTCACTGATCTGCTTACCCTTGGAACTTCCGGGCGCCAATGAAGCTATAAAACTTGCAGGATTATTGGAATAGCGATTGAAGTCCGATTCCGGAAGAGCTGCTAAAACGCATATTATTTTTTCCACGCATTGATCATGATCATGTGCTTTTAAGTTCTCGTTCTGTTCGTCGAGTTTGGCTTCCACTGAGCCTCTCCGATATTTTGGTTTAGTTGCCGTTCCTTCTGTAGAAGTTAACATTATAGTTACTATGCCAACGATACCAGTAATTTCTCTCAACATTTTCACGGTTATCAAAAACTAAAATGAAAAAGAATGCATGGAACTACTGTTGCTTATATACGGTTCCTTTTTAACAGCAATGGTACACATTGCTGTAAAGAGACGATTAAAACATAATAACAATACCGTTTAAGCCACTAAACCTGCATGCAGGAATTTGCCATCACCACATAAATACAGAGTTTTATAGTATAAGCAAATATTTTGTGGCAAATGTATACTAATGGATATTTTGTTGAAAAATCACGAACAAATAGTTGGGGTTATTTATAACACCGAACTGGCTACATAACGATGATTATCGATGAATTTGGTATATATATATGTGTCCCCCAAAAAAACATTATATTTTATAAATTTAAGAGGTATTTCGGCTCATTATTACGTCAATAAGCATTCAAAGGTCGAAGGTCTATTAACAGGACAGACAAAACCAGGACGGTTATACCAAGGATTTGTAAAGTATACTTTAGTTTACTATACAAATCCTTGGTTATACTTGATACGTTTTAATCTTTAACTTTTGTTTAACTCAACATATTGTCAAAATGTAAACTGTATAATAAAGAGCAGGGTGTTTTACTTATATAATTTGTAATGTTTTCAAAAATTAGAAAACTATTAAGATACTGATTTATACTTAAATATATATATTGATTTTCATTCGATATTTCCCAAATTTTCAACTGAAAACTTTAAAAAGAAATAACAATTTCATGCAAGACAATTATTTTTTCAGACGATATTCAACTTTGTTTTTCGATTTGAAACAATTTTTTTCACAAGTGAAGACGTAATAAGCTTCTATCCTGTTAGTTTTTTTTACTTTGAAAATGAAAAAATAATTCAAGTCTTCGATTTTTTGAAAGATTGGGTCTGTAACTTCATAATATCAAAATATTATACCAGACAATCGTAATAAAGAAACTTTTTCTTCCAAATTCTGCCATTTATACAGAAATTAAACGTAATAGGCTACTGTCTTGGCAGATTTGTTTTGTTTAAACGAAATAAAAGTCAATAAAAATTCATATTTTCATAAAGCTTATATTTTTAACTTTCCCATGAACAAAAAAATGGCTTGCAAGACATTCATTTCAAAGAAGATATTCAATATTATATTTTGAATTTGAGCGAATTTCTTCAAATTTTCTGACGTAAAAGGCTACTGTCCTGGCAGATTATTTTACCTTTAAAAGACGAAAAAAGATGAACCCTAAATTTTATTATCGTACAAAAATATTATGCCAGACATTTGTTTTGGAGAAATGATTTCAATTATAAGTAAACTTTTCTCGGCAATTTCCGCCATTTATCTTAAAAATCAAACTGTCCTGGCAGACTTTGTTTTATCTTAATAATTTTCTAATTTTTAAAAACATTATAAATATTGAAAGAAAATACCCTGTTTAATTTATTACACAGTTAAATTTTGACAATATGTTGTTTAAAACAAAAGTTACAGATTAAAACGCATCAAAAATAACTTTCCTGGTTTTATATGTCCTGTTAAATTTATACCTGACTTGGCGGGACAAAAATCCAACCTCTTACATCATAGGAGTATCATACAATAGACTTACCTATCGTCGTATAATCTGCATTGCCCGATTGGATGGAATGGCTGTGTTCTAGATAATTATATTTATATATCCACAAGAAAGCCACTGGGGAAATTTCCATGAAACATTATTCACATGTACATATATGGCTTCAGGTAAATTTTCATGACCATTGCTCTACGAGTGATATTTTGCCAAACTCTTTTGCTTAGGGAGACATCTGTTTTTTAATATTTCACTGGCAACAGATTTTGCAGCGTTTTTTCTGCAGTGATTGATTACTTGTATAGTAGTTATCTGTGGGTTTCAAGCAAGGCGTTTGTTTGGTTTATATTCAAGCCTTTCACGAATGCTCATGACTATACAATGCACGTTTACGTCTGTCTGCCTGTCAGCATATATCTATGTTTTCTGCAGTATGATAAATTGAAATTCACAAAATGATTACACAATGTGTTCTTTGAATTATGAATTATACCTATTCAAGGGTGTATACAGGGGCCAAGGAGGTACACAAGCCCCGCTTTTGTTGCCAAATACATGTACATGTGGCCTTACCTTTTCAAAGAATTGGTTGACATATTTTTGATACAGACTTTGATCAAGGCTACTTTGTTTTTAACAGATGACTTATATTTTTTGTTTTTCCTTAAATAATTTAATCGGATTTCCTTATAATTTTTTGACACGTTTTATTACTTA